AGAATATTATCTGGGAGAACTTCCCCAACCTAGAAAGCCAGGCCACCATTAAGTCCAGGAAATACAGAGAACACCACAAAGATATTTCACAAGAAGAGCAACCCCAAGACACATAATCATCAAATTCACCAGGGTTGAAATGAAGGAAAAAATGCTAAGGACAGCCAGAGAGAAAGTTCAGGTTACCCATGAAGGGAAGCCCATCAGACTCACAGCGGATCTCTCCACAGAAATCCTACAAGCCAGAAGAGAGTGGGGACCAATATTCAACATCCTCAAAGAAAAGAACTTGCAACCTAGAATTTTAATCCAGCCAAACTAAACTTCATAAGTGAAAGAGAAAGAAAATCCTATATGGACAACCAATTGCTGGGAGATTTCGTAACCAGCAGCCTTACAAGAGCTCCTTAAAGAAGCACTAAACATAGAAAGGAGGAACCAGTACCAGCCACTCCAAAAATGTACCAAATGGTAAAGATCATCAACACAATGAAAAAAACGCATCAACTAATGGACAAAACATCCAGCTAGCATAAAATGGCAGGATCAAATTCACACATAACAATACTAACCTTAAATGTAAATGGAATAAATGCCCCAATCAAAAGACACAGATTGGCAAATTGGATAAAAAGTCAAAACCCATAGGTGTGCTGTATACAGGAAACTCATTCACATGCAGGGATACACATAGGCTCCAAATAAAGGGATGGAGGAAGATTTACCAAGCAAATGGAGAGCAAAAAAAAGCAGGAGTTGCAATCCTAGTCTCTGATAAAATGGACTTTAAACCAACAAAGATCAAAAGAGACAAAGAAAGGCATTACATAATGGTAAAAGGATCAATGCATCAAGAAGAGCTAATGATCCTAAATATATACACACCCAATACAGAAGCACCCAGGTACATGAAGCAAATTCTTAACAACCTACAAAGAGACTTAGACTCCCACACAATAATAATGGGAGACTTTAACACTCCACTGTTAATATTAGACAGAACAATGAGACAGAAAATTAACAAGGATATCCAGGACTTGAACTCAGATCTGGACCAAGCAAACCTAATAGACATATACAGAGCTCTCTACCCCAAATCCACAGAATATACATTCTCCTCAGCACCGCATGGCACCTACATTAAAATTGACCAGATAATTGGAAGTAAACCATCCTTGGAAAATGCAAAAGTACAGAAATCATAATAAACAATCTCTCGGACCACAGGGCAATCAAATAAGAACTCAGAATTAAGAAACTAACTCAGAACCTCACAACTTCATGGAAACAGAACAACTGGCTCCTGAATGTCGACTGGATAAACAATGAAAAGAAGGCAGAAATAAAGATGTTCTTCAAAACTAATGAGAATGAAGACACAATGTTCCAGAATCTCTGGGATACATTTAAAGCAGTGTCTAGAGGAAAATTTACAGCAATAAATGCCCACATGAAAAGTGAGGAAAGATCTAATATTGATGCTGTATCATCAAAATTGAAAGAGCTAGAGGAAAAAGATCAGAAAAACTCAAAAGCTAGCAGAAGGCAAGAAATAACTAAGATCAGAGCAGAACTGAAGGAGATAGGGACACAAAAACCTTTCAAAAAAATTGATAAATCCAGGAGCTGGTTTGAAAAGATCAACAAAATAGACAGACTGCTAGCCAGATTAATAAAAAAGAAAAAGGAGAAGAATCAAAAAGATGCAATAAAATATGATAAAGGGGATATCACCACTGACTACACAGAAATACAAACTACAATCAGAGATTACTACTAATAACTTTATGCACATAAACCAGTAAACCTGGATGAAATTGATAAATTCCTGGACATGTGCACCCTCCCAAGCCTAAACCAGGAAGAAGTTGAAACTGTGAACAGACCAGTAACAAGGGCTGAAGTTGAGGCAGAAATTAGCAGCCTACCAAGGAATAAAAGTCCAGGTCCCGACAGGTTCACAGCTGAATTCCACCAGACGTACAAAGAGAAGCTGGTTCATTCCTTCTGAAACTATTCCAAACAATACAAAAAGAGGGAATCCTTCCCAATCATTTTATGAGACCAATCATCCTGATACCAAAACCCAGCAGAGACTTAACAAAAAGGAAAACTTCAGGCCAATTTTCATGATGAACATAGATACAAAAATCTTCAGTAAAATACTGGCAAATCAATGCAACAGCACATCAAAAAGCTTATCCATCATGATCAAATAGGCTTCATTCCAAAGATGCAAGGCTGGTTCAACAAATGTAAGTCTATAAACATAATCCACCATATAAACAGAACCAAAGGCAAAAATCATATGATTATCTCAATAGATGCAGAGAAGGCCTTCAACAAAATTCAACTGCCCTTTATGCTAAAAACTCTCAATAAACTAGGTATCGAAGGAACATATCTCAAAACAATAAAAGCTATTTATGACAAAATTACAGCCAGTATTCATACTGAATGGGTTAAAACTGGAAGCATTCCCTTTGAAATCAGGCGTGAGACAAGGATGCTGTCTCTCACCACTCCTGTTCAATATAGTATTGGAGTTCTAGCCATAGAAATTAGGAAAGAAAAAAAAAGAGTCTTCAATTAGGAAAAGAGGAAGTCACTTGTCTCTATTAGCAGAGGACAGGATTGTATATTTAGAAGACCCTATTGTCTCAGCCCAAAATCTCCTGACACTTCAGCAAAGTCTCAGGATACAAAATCAATGTACAAAAATCACAAGCATTTCTATACACCAATAACAGACTAATAGAGCAAATCATGAGTGAACTCCCATTCACAATTGCTACAAAGAGAATAAAATATCTAGGAATACAACTAACAGAGGATGTAAAGGACCTCTTCAAGGAGAACTACAAACCACTGCTCGAGGAAATAAGGGAGGACACAAACATATAGAGAAATAGTCCATGCTCATGGTTAGGAAAAATCAATATTGTGAAAATGGCCATACTGTCCAAAGTAATTTATAGATTCAGTGCTATCCTCATTATGCTACCAATGACCTTCTTCACAGAACTGGAAAAACCCACCTTAAACTTCATATGGAACTGAAAGAGAGCCCACTTAGCCAAGACAATGCTAAGCAAAAAGAACAAAGCTGGAGGCATCATGGTACCTTATCTCAAACTATGCTACAAGGCTATAGTAATCAAAACAGCAAGGCACTGGTACCAAAACAGAGATATAGACCAATGGAAAAGAATAGAGGCCCTGGAGGCAGTACCGCACATCTACAAACATCTGATTTTTACAAACCTGACACAAACAAGCAGTGAGGAAAGGATTCCCTGTTTAATATATGGTGTTGGGAAAGCTGACTAGCAGTGTGCAGAAAGCAGAAACTGAACCCCTTTCTGACACCTTACACTAAAATTAACTACAGATGGATTAAAGACTTAAACATAAGACCTATCACCATAAAAACTCTACAAGGAAATATAGGCAAAACCATTCAGGACAGAGGCATAGGCAAGGACTTGATGATTTAAACACCAAAAGCATTGGCAACAAAAGCCAAAATAGACAAATGGGATCTAATTAAACTCCAGAGCTTCTGTACACAAAAGAAACAATCATTAGAGCAAACCAGCAACCAACAGAGTGGGAAAAAATTATTGCAATCTATGCATCTGACAAAGGGCTAATATCCAGAATCTACAGATAAGTAAAACAGATTTATAAGAAAAAAACAAACAAACCCATCCAAAAGTGGGAGAAGGATATGAACAGACAACTTTCAAAAGAAGACATGTATGAGACAAACAAACATACAAAAATGCTCATCATCACTGGTTATTAGAGAAATGCAAATCAAAATCTCATTGAGATACTATCTCATGCTAGTTAGAATGGCGATGATTTAAAAAATCTGGAGACAGATGCTGGAGAGGATGTAGAGAAATAGGAACACTTTTACACTGTTGGTGGGAGTGTAAACTAGTTCAACCATTGTGAAAGACAGTGTGGTGCTTCCTCAAGGACCTAGATATAGAAATTCCATTTGACCCAGCAATCTCATTACTGAGTATATACCCAAAGGATTATAAATCATTCTATTATAAAGACACATGCAAATGTATGTTCATTGCGTCACTGTTTACAATAGCAGAGACCTAGAACCAACTCATATGCCCATTGATAATAGACTGGACAAGGAAAATGTGGCACATATTCACCATGGAATACTATGCAGACAAAAAATGATGAGTTTGTGTCCTCATAGAGACATGGATGAATCTGGAAACCATCGTTCTCAGCAAACTGACAAAAGAACAGAAAATCAAACACTGCATGTTCTCACAGGCGGATGTTGAACAATGAGAACACATGGGTACAGGCAGGGGAACATCACACACTGGGGTCAGTTGTGGGGGCCAAGGGAGGGACAGTGGGGTGGTGGGGAGGTTGGGGAGGGATAACATGGGAAGAAATGCCAGATGTAGGTGACAGGGGGCTGGAGGCAGCAAACCACATTGCCATGTATGTACCTATGCAACAATCCTGCATGATCTGCACATGTACCCCAGAACCTAAAGTATAATAAAAAAAATTTTTTTTAAGTGTTAGTTTCCCACAATGCTTTACCTTAGCATTGCTAATATGCTAAATGTAATTGAGTTTCAAAGATGTGTAACTTTGAAGTGGTTCCTACCCTCCAACTACTTACAGGAGGGTGAAATTCTGTATTACTTTCAAGAATTACAATCAACATGATGTTGACTAACATAAAGATGTAAATATCTTTATAATTAGCATAAATTAAGAACTATTGTGATTACACATGGGGAAGAACTTTATCATGTAAACGTAACTTAAAAGTTAACAGCAGAGAAACTTTATTAAGCATGTGAAATGTGCCCTTGAAAACCGTGAAAAGAAAAATATAGAACTCATTCTGGGATGAGTGTAACATGCACTTCATGGAGTCAAAGGCTTCTAGGAAGTTTAGAGAAATCTAGTCTTTCACAATTCCAGATGTTTTATTAACTTACCATAACTTCCTTTGGCAAATCACTTGGCAGTCAGGATCACTGGCTTCTGAAGCTTACGGACCAATCTTACCTGAGAAAAAGGGGTGAGAAGAAGATAACATTAAGCAACACATCCCTGCTATGAGTCCTGCTCCGATCCCTTGTCTATTGGCCATCAAGAAAACAATTTCTCTGTTCTTCATCCATTTTGGATGCCTAGAATAGAATTGGGTGTTTACTTTTGTTTCCTGTAAGGCTTGAGATGAGGCTGGCTTCTATCCATCCTCTCAGAACCGGAGTCCTCTCTCTGAACTCCAGATTGCCACCGAGATCCCATTCTCAGGTTTCACTCCTTTTGAAAACCACTGCTTATATGTCTTTTTCTTTACCCAACGAAAGCCTAAAGCAGTTTTAGCATAGGTCCTGGCACACAGTAGTATTCAATATTAATGGAAAATCGGTATACAACAAGAAGTATAACAAGATGTTGGCTTTCTATGCAACTTAGAGTCTAGAAGAGAAAGATAAAAATACAAATACTAAGTGTTACAGATGTTGTAATGAAGAAAACAGACTGCAAACCTGGCTTAAATATTTGTTTTCCTACTAGAGGGATCAAAAAGACTTCTGGGAGAAGTTGAGAAGAAGCGGTAAGATTCAGTGAAAAGAATAGGCTTTGTCAAGAATAGTGGGAAACAGGCAGATATTTTCCGGAGACAATGAGTAAAGTCATTTGTATAAGGAGAATATACATATTGAAGCATGGTAAAAGATAAGCCTAGACATCTGCGTAGATCATGAATCAGTCAGAAATTTACTTTTTTAGGCATTAAAAGTATCTGGAGTCTTTTGAGTAGGTAAGTGACCTAATTAGAGTGATGTCTTAGAGTTGTTTCTAAGGTGGCAGTTAAGAGGATATTTAGTCAAGGAAAAAAACTGAGAGGAGGAAATTAAATAGGAAACTATTTATTTATCCTAGCATTAAATGACTGAATTATTATATAAGTTAATAGCAATAGAATTTTGAAAAAAAAAAAAAAACAAGAAACCAAATTTTGGCGTATCATGTGGGATTTACTCTCACTTCTTACAAGCCCATAAAAATTCAGCAAAAGGATTTTTAAAATGCATAAAATTACATAAGCAAAAACAAAAATGGGAACAAAAAAGATTGAGATGCAAAGAAAAAAATGGGAAGACATACAACAGAAAATTAATGCCAGAGAAAGAAGAAAAATAGTGTCTGCAGGGTACAAGAGTAGCGTCAAGACACTCGTCCCGTCATGCCCTGGAATCCAGGAAAAGCCTACAAGTTAGAAGCATCACGTTCCTCTGACGGCTGAGGTGTAATTAAGCAGACAATATGAAGATTGGTTGCAACTCTCCAAAGGCATTTAGACCTTTGCATTTCCTAAAATTCTACAGGAGAAGAAATCAGGTTCAAAATCTTCCCCACTGAACAGAAGAACATGGTTGAGGTTTTACTCACCGGAGACACATTGAACCTAGAGACACCAAACACAGTCAAGACACTGCATGAAGGTCTACACACTAACAGTGAGATCCATAGTATACTCTCTCGCTTTCCCATAACATGAGCAACCAGCTTCCCTCACAAGAGGAAGGCTGGAGGGTTCATCTCTTTGGAACCTCACTAGCTTAAGGAAAACTCTTGACATTTGGGGAAAGAGTGTCTTTGAGAAAACAACTGCATTTCTGTCTAATTATCCTACAGAAAAGCACACTGGTCAACAAGCCCTGAAACCAGATAAAACCTTCTAATATATTTCTAGGGTTTCACTCTTATATGTCAAATAACAGCCAAAGATGAAGAAAGTTCATGCCACTAACTCAAAACACAGAAGCCAAATGAAGAGGGCAAGCAACACAGAAGACCTGAAGCAATGCAGAAACTAGAAGAAAGGCCAAGAAACTCTATAATCAGTCACCTCAAAGAGATTAAAGTATACAATATATCCACAAATTAGAATTTTAGAATATTATTCTAAAATGAAGGAGGAGCATTCAAACAATAAATGCTCCTAGAAAATAAAAATATGGTTAAAATAAAGATGACAGAATCTTCCAAAAAGTGTAGCCAAAATACAAAGTGAAAAATAGGTAAGACTAGATAAAATTTAAGAGGTTTGTTACTAAAGTTCAAACAGTCAAATAAGAGTCTCAGAAAAAGACAAAGAAGAAAATGAAAGCAAGTAAATTATGCAGAAATAACCAAAAAAAATCTAGAATTGAAACGTCCGGATTTACATATTGAAAGGGTGGCTTACTATCTATCACAATGAATGAAAAGATAATTCATAGCAAAGCGCAGTACTGTAAAATTTCAGGGAATTGAGATACAGAGAAAAAACAGGCCTTTAGAGCAGAAAGAAGATTAAATTTCATGCCTTCAATATCTTGCGAAAAATAATTTTCAACATAGAATTCCGAACCCAGACAAACTACCAATCAAATGGGAAGTTAAAATTAAACATTTTTAACGTTTTATATGCACAAGTTCTTTAAAAAAAAAAAATACCTCTCATACACTTCTGCTCAAGAAATTACAAGAAGATAATCCTTATTAAGAATCAAAGAATAGGCATGGTAAGGTGGCCCATGCCTGTAATCCCAGCACTTTGGGAAGCCGAGGCAAGTGAATCACATGAAGTCAGGAGTTCAGGACCAGCCTGACCAACATGGTGAAAACCTGCCTCTACTAAAAATACCAAAATTAACTGGGCATTGTGGTGCATGCCTGTAATCCTAGCTGCTCGGAGGTTGAGGCAGGAGAATTGCTTGAACCCAGAAGGCAGAGGTTGCAGTAAGCCAAGATCATGCCATTGCACTCCAGCCTGGGTGACAGAGTGAGAGACTCTGTCTCAGAAAAGAAAAAAAGAATCAAAGTTAACCAAGATGCCAGAAAGCTGGAATACAGAGTAAGTGTAAAAAGAAGAGGCATCTATAGAACTCCCACAATGACAGTGAAGGGAAAGCTCGAGAAAACAGCTGTGCAGCAGTTCTAGGGAAGGATCCATCTAGATCAAAGTTTTATAGAAGAGTTCAGCAAGGAAGTCTCTAAAAATAAAACAGAATTGATACATCAACTGACATTTGGTGTGTTAAGGAGGGAGTTACTGTGCTCTCCAAGGATGTGTAGATGAAATGATGAGAGTTCCATAGTACACTTAAAAGCAAAAATACATCAGTTATTACTAACTCCTGAGGAAGAAAAATTACAAGGAAGAATATGTAACCATAGCATACTTGGGTGCCTCTGGTGTGAATAATGTCAATATAAATACTATGATGAAAATACTGAGTATTTAACCAAAAACTGACATAATTATACTAAGACAATGAGGAAAGGGTAAGAAAAGGAGAAGGTGAACATTTTAGGGAAATGTCTTCCAAGAAAGAAAGTAAAGTGCTATTACCTAAAAAAATCAAAAAAGACAAAATAAAACATGTGCCTTCTTTTTAGAGACGTGGCTCAGAATCTCCAATGACAGGTAAAAGATCCAAAGGTGCCTATATCTTGGAATGGAATTCAGGAAAGAAATATGGAAATGGTCTAGTGTTTTCTGTTACAAGTCTTGTTGAACTCCTTTACATTTTAAACAGTGGGTATGAATTGTTTTGATTAAAATAATGTTTTGAAAAAAGGGGAAAGTGCAGACGTTGTTGCAAAGAAGAATCTATAGGGGAAAAAAGCAGAATGACCAAATTTTGGAGCAAATAAGGACAAATTTTTAAATAACCCTATGACATCTGGTGTGGATGATTGAAGAGAATTTTGGAAACAATCATATAAAAGAGAAATCAGAAATTAGCCACGGAATGAGGAGTTTGGTGAAGAAGGATGTATGCCTAACTGATCGGCAGTCAGATAACATGACTTCTAATGCTTGTTCCGCCAATTTACTTATGAGACTGGTCAAGTAAATTTACTTCTATAGCTTCTGTTTTGTTATCTTTAAAGAAAAGGTTTTGAACTCCGTGATCGCTACCTTTCTTCCATCTTGCTTAAGATGAACTTACACTTACACTTGTGTTGGTATTAACCGTGGAACAACCAAGTTACTTATATGCAGGAGATTGCTGGAAAATGTAGGACACAAGTTGAGACAAGTAGTCAGGGCTGGGGAGGCAGATTGTAGAGGTATCTACATGGAGATGTGCTCATAGCTGGAGAGAGTAAATCTCCAAAGCACAACACATAGAGACAGAAATGAAAAGATAGGACTAAACTTCAGGTAATGCCCACCTTAGGGGAAAACTAGAATAGTGAAGGTGTGAGTTGAAACATACATATATATCATGACAGATCAGCTATATGTCTATTTGGCTTTAGAATTGTATGAAGGGGAGCCGGGCATGGTGGCTCACACCTGTAATCCAAGGACTTTGGGAGGCTGAGGCGGGAGGATCACAAGGTCAGGAGATTGAGACGATCCTGGCTAACACTGTGAAACCCGGTCTCTACTAAAAATACAAAAAAATTAGCCAGGTTGTTGGCTCAGCTACTCTGGATGCTGAGGTAGGAGAATTGCTTGAACCCAGGAGGCAGAGGTTGCAGTGAGCCAAGATTGCACCACTGCACTCCAGCCTGGGCAACAGAGCAAGTCTCAAAAACAAAAACAAACAAACAAAAAAGAATAGTATAAAGTGTTTGATAGTCTTATGAATTCAAAAATGACCTTTGAACTTAAACAATTAGGAAATGTTGATAGCAAACCAAATTAAAACAAAATATTTGGAATTCTAAGGAGTTATACAAAAGATAAGCTTTTATCCCCCTTTTTCTAAAATTACTGTAGGTATCACATTACAGATGTTACCATTTAGGGCATCTATGTAAATAAAGATGGGATTTTTATTTTTCACCTTTAGAAAAGTGGCAGGGATTGAAATCTTGCCTGAAACTATGAATTTTTCATAATAGGTGGCTATTCAGCCAAGCACTAAATCTATAAGCCCCAGCTGTGATCCAAGCAAGGTTAAATGAAAATAATACTTGACAATATTTCACCAAGCCCTATCATGCATGCACATGTCACTTCCTTTAATTTATTTTTTATGCATAATTATTC